GGGGCGAAGGGGCCTTCCGAATCGTGCCGTCGGCGTTCCTTGGCAGCTTGCGCTTACCCTTTGGGCGACCCATGTGCCCGGAGCGCGTGTGCGTCTTTCGTTGCGTGCGTAAAGGGTGTGTGTGTGTGTCCTCTGGTGTGTGTGTGGCGGGAAAAAATTCCCCGAGGGCGTGTGAAACCACCCGAAATATCTCCGAAACCCGAGTTTTTTTTTTGAATCGGAAAAAAATCATCGGTGGGGAATCACGAGAGGAATCGATTGCAGCACTTTATTTTTGAATCGTACGGTTGGATTGTCCCCAAGAAACTAAGCAAAATACCCTCCCATATCCGGTTTTTTGCCTATAACTCCGTTATTTTTCGTCAAATTGGAAATCGGAAAAAAATCATCGGTGCCAAATCACGAGAGCTGTCCAAATCCGGTCTCAGATTTTGTGTCTGCAAAAAACACCGCCCTCCAGAAAGTAAGCAAGATTTCTTGAATATCTGAACATATCGAGCGAAGGACGAAAAAAAAAAAAAATCTCATTACGAAGATGCGCCTTGAAACGTCGATTTACGCGGTATTTTCAGATTTCGGAGTAAGTACCCTCACCCCGAGAAAAGTGCACCTTTGTGCAGGGGAAAATATTGTGAATTTTTCCGGAAACGGACCATAGCACTTTGAATTAGGTTGTATCATGCTGCATAGGTCGAGTACGCGTAATCGGCGCGCACCAATATTTGAAATGGAACCCACCTGATACGATGATGTTGTTGTACCGCGAAACTGCGGGCTAACCAACAAGAGAGCTCGTTTCCCCTAGCCCCCTTCTCTTTTTCGCCATCAATATCTTTTTTGACCCCGTTCTGATTTGAAAAGAGAGGCAAGAAAAACACTCTCGAAAAGCGATTTCTGATCCCTAGGGACAAAGGAACCCGTCCGTCCGTGATCGCTTCCAGGTACCCGGAAAAGAACAATTTATACTATACACTGCTCGAAACGGTTTACCAGGACCACGACATGCGGGGGCTGTACCAACACCTCAAGCGATCAACGGGCCTCAGCGGGAGACAAGCTGGGGGGCAGCAGTTCGTTACAGATGAGAACGGCGTGCTGCTCCGGAACAAGAATGCCATCCTCAAGCGGTGGCGTAGATTCTTCGATACCCTCCTGAACTCCGGTCCCCCACCCTGAGCCCAGACGTTGTCGAACAGGTGACGCAGCGACCAGCGACGCGCGCCACCCGACGCCTGGCGGCGGTACCAGACCTCGAGGAGGTTGAGGTGGCAACGAAAGGTTTGGGGAACTGGAAGGCGGTTGGCCCCGACCTCCTTGCCGCCGAACTGCTCAAGGTCGACGGCGACGACGAGCCCATTGTCCTGGAGCTCCTCCGTGCCATCTTCGTCGAAGTGTGGAATGGGGGAGAGATGCCGCAGGAGTGGAAGGATGCCATCATTAAGGTGTTGTACAAGACGGGTGACCGGTCGAACTGCAACAACTTCAGGGGCATCTCGCTGCTCTCGTATGTAGGCAAAATACTCGCCAAGACCATCACCAACCGCCTGAGCGCATTCTGCGAAGCCAACGAAATCCTCCCGGAGGAACAGTGCGGGTTCCGGCCTGGCCGATCCACGGTATGCATGCTGTTCGTTGTGCGCCGACTCCAGGAGCTGGGGCGGAGGAGGAGAATCCCGCTCTACATGTGCTTCATCGATCTGCAGAAGGCATATGACTCGGTGGACCGGGAGCTACTGTGGAAGGTGCTGGCCCGGGCCGGGATCCCCGGGGAGATGATCGCCGTCATCCGCAAGTTCCACGTCGGAATGCGGGCCCGGGTCCGCACGGACGATGGGGAGCTATCGGACTGGTTCCCGGTCACGCAGGGATTACGACAAGGGTGCTCAATGTCCCCACTGCTGTTCAACGTCTTCTTCGCAGCGCCTCTCGAGATCATTGTCACACGGTTCAGCCAAGATGAGGTTATCGTGCGGGACCTAGTGTACTTGAAGGAGGAGGAACGGAGGGGGGAGGGATTGCTGGACCGAGTCCGGAGGGCGGTGTGGGGGATGCTATATGCCGACGATGCCGGCGTTGTGTCGAAGTCCGCCGACGGCCTGGCGAGGATGATGACCATTATCGTGGAGGTGTTCCGGGAGTTCGGGCTGACGGTGTCGGAGAGGAAGACGGAGACATTGGTGATGCGGGTGAAGGAGAAACAGCGACCGCCGCCGACGCCACCGCCGCCGCTGACCATCGAAGCAGCGGGGCAAAGGTACGCACAGACGACCGAGTTCCGATACCTGGGCGGCCTCGTCAACGAGCAGGGCGACCTTACCCGAGAGATCAACCACAGGAGCAAAGCAGCGTGGGCGTGCATTAGGCGATACGCCACGGAGCTCTTCGACCGACCGGGAGCACCGTTTCGCCTCAAGGCCCGCCTACTCCAGGCGGAGGCAGTGGCGGCACTGCTATACGGCTGCATGACATGGTCCCCACGCCGCGACCACTACCGGCTGCTGCAGACGACACACCACCGTCTGCTTCTGCGAGTTATCGGCTACCGGCGCAAACGAGGCACCTACCGGCAGCTGTCATACGCCCAGGCGCTGAAGAGGGTCGGCTGCCAGAGCGTGGAGGCCACTGTCCGTCAACGGCGCCTGCTCTTTGCGGGGGCCGTGGCAAGACAGCCAGACGGGCGGCTTCCGAAACGGCTGATGTTCGGCGAGTTGGTGGGAGGGGAGAACCCGGGCCGGGGAAGCCCGGAGCAGAACTGGCTGATATGCCTGAAGGACGACCTAAAGATGTTCGAAGCCAGACACGGCTCCACGCCCGACAAGCGGAGCTTCTTCGGAATCCCGAAGCCAGACTGGGACGAGGCGGCGAAGGTGGAGGGGGGGGTACCGTGGCACGCGGGGGTGCTACAGGGAGCTGAGAGGTTTATGGCCTCTTGGCACAAGGGCGAGGAGAAGGCCAGCCGACAACGAGCCATCAAACGAGGAGACAGCGGGCCCAAAAAGAGTCTAGATACGGCACCAATCAACGGGGCGGGAGGGGGGCGGGAGGAAACGGCGCGGGAAGAAAGCAAGCGAGAAGAGACCGACCGCGTGACGTGACATGTTGCGGTTGAATTTCAGCGACTAGTTTTTCTGTTGCCCTCTCCCCCGTTTGCTGTCGCGTTCAGACTGTCTCTACGGAGATCCCTGTCTCTGTGCGAGTTTGTTTATGTCCTCGTCTGTCTTTGGTTTATTTCGTTTTATTTTGTTTTTGTTTTTTTTTGTTTTTGTTTTTGTTTTTTACTGGCACGTACTGCTGACCCTTGGGGTCCTTCCGGAAGGCTACCCCCCAGGCTGGTGGTGCGCACGTTCCACTATTTATTTATTTATTTGTTTCTGATTCTTTTGTTTTCTTGTATTTTATCGCTCTGCTAACCCTTGGGGTCCATTTTACTTTGGTATACCTTTTCTAGGTACGTTAGCCTGTGACCACGGAAATTGACCGAGTCAAGTGCTGGATTAGTACGGAGAGATTGAGACAGAAGGAGGTACTGGATAGAGAGACCGGGATGGTTTTTGATGTGAAGACAACAACAACAACAACAACAACAACAACTGCAGAATTTTCCTTCCAAGTTTGTTTGTGGGCATATTATCGCCAGGGCGCACGCATTTTTTCGCATGACAGCAGTGGGGCAGGGCGAGGTCCCGTGCTGTCCACGGAGCGTGACGTACGTGTGAAAAGGATAAGGCGGAACGATACTTCCACCGGCGGTTAAGTACACATACGACGTTACCGATAGAAGAAAGGCCATATGTTGTCCAACGCCTGTTCTTGAAGTGGGTCAGGCAATATTCCACACTATGTACAAGCAAGGTTGCTCCTAACGTCGGGCCGATGGCAAATACCGTCAAATCACTACATGATTCGGCGGCTGACCTCAAACTGACAAAAAAAATAACATAAATAATAAACTGACTCAGCACGTCACACACGCTGGTAAATATGGTCGAATTAGACAGCAGTTTCTTGACCACAAGGAGTGCACAAAATAATTGCACACACACACACACATGTTTGTACACGACAAGAGCCCAGAGCCGAACTATCACGAATGAAACAAAGGCAAGGATCGCAGCAAAGAGGGCTAACGGTGGCGGTGCCACCTATTTATCCAGCCCGTGCGGTTCCCACCCTTGCTCGCACAAGCACACCCTCCCCACACCCTATTCTCCAAGGTCTCCTCCTTCTCCACCATACGCTATTTAGCACGGAGGATCCTGTCGTCGTCACTGCCACCATTTTGTCACACACAAGCAAAAGCAGCAAAGGCAAACAACGGAAAGCGCAGGCGGTAAGCATGGGGGTTGGTTAATGTGGACTAAGGTCACCTGGGTGGGATTTACTTCGGCGTTCTGCGCGCCGTAGTACGTTCTCATACGATGAAATCGGGCCACAGTCACGCAAATCCCTGCCGCACCCTCAGTTTATGGTCGAGAAGTTGGTAAATACATACGGAACCAGAAACACACCTCAAAGCGACTCTTGAACCCTCAGAACCAGTCAGCTCCTGTCGTCCCCCATGGCCCTTCGACCCCCCCCCGCATTTCCCCACCCTAAATCCGGCCCGCCCTCCGACGTGTCTGATCCCCAGTTGCTGAAGGCATCGCTGTATTCGGACGCATCGGATTCCCACTTTGGGATTTCATCCCTCCCTTCGTTTTCCTCCTGCTCCTCCTGCGCCTGCTCCTGCTCCTGCTCCTCCTCCTCCTCCCCGTCCTCGTTCTTCGGTCCCTGTNTGCTGAAGGCATCGCTGTATTCGGACGCATCGGATTCCCACTTTGGGATTTCATCCCTCCCTTCGTTTT